TTTCAGGCGACGACTTCTAAATTTCCGAAAACGGTTTCTTATTCACTGGTGATGTTTTTCTTCACTCCATCTATGAGTCATCTATACGCAGAAAGAATGGATATCGTGTGTGAGCTTGGCGGGTAGGAGGTGTATGAAGTTCTCTTCCATGTCGGCTCTTCTTGCGTGGGGTTGGGCGAGGCAGCTCTTGGTCGGTCAGAGCGTCGTTGATGGTTTTGCTGCTGGCACCAGAAGCTGTACACTCAATCTCGGAGTCAGTTTCACAAACTTTCGTTACCATTTCAATTTGAAAACGTTATCGCAGTTGTATCTCATGGCCCCCCTTACGAAAGAGTTATTGGAGTATTTTACTCCAAGTCGTGATGCGCTGGCAGAAACCCAAAGACTTCATGCAATTGAGGATCGAACAGATTAAGAAACCATAATGCTATGGAAAAATTGTTACAGGTCTTCTTTAAAATTCAGTACTTTCTTAAGTTAGGGTACCAACTTGTTTTCAAGTTTTCGAAGTTCGGGGATAGCCACTCAAATGAATGACTATCATTCTCGCTCGGTTTGTTGATGTCTTCTTCTAGACTGGAAGTCTTAGTTAAATCGCAATTTCTTCTCTTTTTTTTTCTTCCTTCATTCCGCACTAGTTATTACTTTTTGAAAATACCGTAATATCCAGAGCTTCACCGGGCTTAGCACGGCATTAGTTTATGTTGGTTAACTAAAGATTCCTGAAACCCGATATCATTTTAGTATGTACATGTAACATAGCGTCGTATAGTGATACTATCTATTTCCACGACAGAAAAATTGTAGCTTCTTCTTCTCCTTTGATCTTTTGAGATTCTGTAGTGGTACCCACATTTTCCATGGTATTGTCGTCGGTAAAGGTATGGTGCACTTCTTTTGTCAACCTGTTTAATAGTTGGCGCCGTTTGTTTGGTGTCATCAGTTCTAGTGATCTTACTATCATGTTAGGCGTGCATCTAAAAGGGTTGAAAGATCGTCGAGCTCTGGTGACGATGCAGATTATCTCTCGTTGACATTGGAGGAATAACTCTTCTTCGCCACGCAGAAGACTTTGCTAGCTCAAACTTGATACGGCATCAATTCACTAGATCTGCTTTTTTCAGTCACGGATGAGCTTTCCGAATATGTATCAATGTCGTTTCCGCGAGAGGGATCCTGTGTATTAAATCTTTGATCATGCTCACTACCGATTGTGATCCACACAGATTACGTCAAAGTACCAACTATGTGGTCCACATACTATTTTATGATGATATTTTCCCACTGTTGATAAACGGTTGACAGAGCTCCGTCTCACGTGATAATGATCTGTGGGAGTTGCAACTGTGTCAGGCGCTCCAAAAGTTGAGGGAGTGAATGAAGTGAGCTACAAAACGGAAAGACCAATGCAGGCGAGCGGGTGCGAGCGCGGGTAACCATAGCAAACCCGCGTGATGCCCTTGAAGCTCGACCGCGCAGTACCTGGGAAGGCGGCCCAATACAAAACTCAATATTATTTACTAGAAAAATATTCTGATGCGGTGCCTGTCAATCGATAGCAGAGATGGAGAGCTTTACTTTGGTCCAATTAGTCTTTGTTTTGGCCGAGTTTTGGCCAATCGGCATGCATTTGATTACGCCCCTCC